TGAAGGACTCCTGCAATGTATCTGCCCAATAATAAATCAGTTTTAATTACAGGCTTTTCCTCTTCAGCGATGTCGCTACTCTATCTCAGCCAGAGCCTGAATGTTTCCTGACAGGGAAGGGATGTTAGCTTCCCTTTGGTCGCCTAAGTAGCATACCCCAGGTGTTCTGCTGGCGGGGACGGTGGGCACCCTGACCGCAAATCTCCCCAGAAGGAGCCACACGGGCTGGGTGGATCTCAGCCCGTTTCTGCAGCATCTGTGCAGTCACAGTGAGGAGGCGGTGGAGAAAGATCTTTCTCACCGGGTTTGGCCACCTGGCAAAGGTAAAGGTGGTAAGAACTCTTGAATGAATATCAGCCAGGGTTGTAAAGCTTGTAAGGGAAATCCAAAAACCCATCACACACGTATGTGCAGGCTCGAAGGCCAAGACAGCTGACGGATAAACGCACACCAGGATCACCAGCGCTGCTCATGAGGAATTTGCCATCAACAGGAGCGATGAGGATCTGCTGTCCGAGGAGAGAAGCCGCTCTGGCCAAGGGCACACCTGCGGCGCTTCGTAACAGCCTTGGGCAAAAGAAACAAGCAAAGCATGTGCTTCCTTCTCCCCAGAGCATGCAGACAGGGAGGGGGAACCTTTGGTTCTGTTAAACAGATCCCCACACTACGCAGGCTGGGTATTTTGGAGCTGTGGCCCACCTAAGGAGAAGGAGCCCTGCAGGGGCCGTTGCCTGCGCCCACGGCACATCGTCGGTGCTGCCGGTGGGCTCCTGGCACCGACAGGAACACCGAGGACTCTGACGCAGTTTTGCTCATGACAGAAGCTGGAAGGGTTAAAATCTCCCCCTGAGAACACACCTCTCTTCATCTTTAAAACGAGCAGATACAGGGATGCTGTGCCCTGTTCCCGCAGGAAGAGGCAGACCCGCTGCTGGACGGCTCCCAGGCAAACGGTGAGCCCACGCAGAAAAAAAACGGAGAGCACGTGGAAACATGGGGGGCTACGAACAGGCTCAGTCAGGGTGCTGCTAGCCGTGAATAAAAGTCTGCATTTTCCTCAAATCCTCTCCCCCAAGGCCCTACCTGCTCTTCGTCAGCCCGCTCCCCCGCCTCCATTTGAAGGTTTAGCAGCCACAGCTGCTTGGGGCCGTGTTTGCATTTTAAGCGTAAGAAGGATGTATGTTCCAAGGCCTTGAGTCACATGAACCAAAACTCAGCTCCACTTCGGACAGTTAATTAATTCTTGGTTCTTGGTTCTTCAAGAATTTTAAGAATTTTCTTAAAAAAAAAAAAAAATCATCAAAGGATCATCTTCTTGATCAGCTGAACGTACTGCAAAACCTTTGTTTTGATCGGTTTTCCAAGGCAATAACAACGTATTTGTTTCAAACTTCAAACGGAGCAAACCAAACGACTTTCACTGGTAACCACGGAGCTCTTGAGCAAAACCCCTGGACAGGAACGAGAGACGTACGGGAATTAGGCTACTAAGCTGGAGAAAATCTTCCACTCGGGAGCTCCGTACTGCTGAGCTCACACAGTACTTCGTTGTTACCGCGGTTCCTTACACCAGAAATAACAAACGTACGGGTCCCCCCCTAAAAAGTCACCCTACCAACAGCTCAGTGCGAGGAGGAGACCTTCCCTTCCCTTCCCTTCGTGGCACTGGAGGGCTCGGGGCGGGCGGTGGAACAAACCGAACCGCCCGGGAGCCTGCAAAACGCCGCGACAGCCAACATCTCCCAAAAATCCCTGCTTGGGTGAGGACGTAAAGGACGAGTTCGGGATGACGGTTGTAATCGCCTCTGCTGCCAGCTTCAACAAAGGGCTTGGGGTTTTTTTGCCTGTCGCAACCGTCGACGGCTGACACGTTACGTTTGCCTTAGCGCAAGGCACCGCAGAGCTGATAGCACGCTCTTCAATTAAGGGGGCTGGTAATTAACCTTCGCTTGCCGCCTTCCAGCCGGTTGCCCAGGCTGGGCCTTTCCCTCCCGCTCCTGCCCCGGGGGCTGGCAAACCCCTTCCCCAGGGGCATCGCGACCACAGGGAGCGTGGGGAGCAGGGAAGGTGCGGAGGAGCCAACGGGGCCATCGACCACCCGCTTGTTTTGGCGGTGCTTTGGGTGGCTCTAAGGGAGGATTCTGCCAACTTCAGGGATAAAAACGAAGGGTCCCGGTCGGTCACCGCTCAGCGACCAAGTAACCTGTCAGTAAAATAAACAGGATCTCAGCAACTTTATAGCTTAAAGCTGCTATACTTCACTCTCTCCTTTCGTTCAGAGGGCTGAAAAACCAATCTTCAAAATTACTATTTCTCTTCCTTTCTAGTAACTACCCAGTAAGTTTTGAGGAATATTTTGAACCTCGATAAAACAAAAACTATCACATCTACCATCAGCAGCAATACCTAAAATAATGATATCAAGTCTGATAATAAAACACCAATCCATACCAGGTGTTTCCTCCAATGACTTAGATTTAAAAAATGAGCATTAATAGTGATATGGATCAGTAATTTTAAAAAGTTAGGAAATTGTTTTCAAATGTTAAAGTTACTTCTATCAAGTTACTACAATTTTTATTTTCTTGTGAATGTACCCTAGTTTTTGAGAAGTAATACCTTTGCCATTTTTGGGTTTTGTCCTGTCCCTCACCCTTTCGACAGGGGTCCGTAACCGCTCAGCCACTTCCAGTCCCCTTTCCACTGCCGGCGCTTCGAGGAATTTCGCCAGACTTTTTTTCCCTGCGTGTTTAACCACGAGCGTTCTTCCCTCAGCTGTCGCGGGCCCTCCCCTTCCACGCCAACCCAGTCCTGCTCACAGCTTCCTTGCCTTATCCCCCCATCAGCAAAGGCTCTGACTTTTGGTTACCTCAATTCCACCTCGAGTTTTACCAGATAACGAAGCTCAAACGTGTCGCCCCGCCTGCCTGCCTATTGCCCCTTTCCCCATTTTTCTGTTAACATCTGGCATGCTCATTTTACATCTTGCACAGTGAAGCAGAAGCATCAGATCAGTTATCAATGCAATGCAGATACATCTCGACTTTCACCATTATTGGCCAGAATTGCTAATGCTGTCGTTCTGCTGCTATTGAGCTAATGTCCTTAAATGCAGTAGCTTTAACCAACGTCAGTTAACACCGGAGAGGATCTACTGCTGCAGTTTTCCCCAGATGTTTTAATTTACACAGTATCACGATGTTTCTCCTTTTTCCTCATCAGTCACAATACTAGTGCATTTTGACGGGTGCCATCATGCGCACACCAACTTCTTTCCTATCAGTAGCAAATCACATCTCTTCTTTCTCTGCAACTGCTCTTTGCCAAAGAGTAAATTTTCATCTGCATGCTTTTGTTTCCTAAGCTCCCCAGCTGAACTATGACCTCGCAGCCAAAAGACCCCCTGCTTAGGTTGCAATTCCTTTTCTTAGGTCAGATAGGAAAGAACTCAACCGTGTATTAAAATAGGAGCTAGCTAAGTCCTGGTTCATGGCTCGCTCGGTTTTCCACTGCCGCTCCACGGGCTTTACGAGGCACAGAACCGTGGGAAATGTTTTCCTCTTCTGAATTAGAGCTAGCTACCAGTTAACTTCTGAGTTTAGACTTTGCAGTGAGGACAGGAAGCATTGCATCGCGCTAACTCAAGTCTCCTGGAGACTTTTTATATAAAACCATTGAAATTAATGCCCTGCGTAAAATTTACCTTTAGTTTCCACCAGAAGAAACAAGAGGAATGGAGGGAAAAAAAAAAAAAAGAAACAGAGCATTGAGGTTTGTTTTCTTCTTGTAAGAGGCTAATCCACAGCAGGTGAAAGTTTAATTATCTTACTGTACACAGCATGTTTGTTTAGTGCTCTCAATTACATTTCCAAACTAAGTAAGTAGACCAACGCTGCCGTTTACATCTGGATACCCAAACCTCCCCACACCAACCTAACAACAGATCACAAACTCTCTCAGACCAAGTATCGGGTGCAGGGAAAGGACTATTTTTGCTCAGTGAATGCCTTTAGACCAAACAGTGCTTACAGCATAATACACTAGAAATCATTTTGCGAAAAACCAAATACATTGTGTCGCTGGTTGTAGACAGAAGCAAGCAAGGAATATTATGCCATCACTCATCTTTTCACCAATACGCAATTAGACTTAACACATGATGGTTTCCTTGAAATTATATAGTGATATTTCTTTTAACTGAAAATGTACAGTGAAATATAGAAGCAGAAAACGCCTTTAAAAAAAAAAACAACTACTGACCATTGCTACTTACAAATAATGTAAATTATTATTCCACCAATTGTAAGGAAATGTCTTAAATAGAAGAGCGAGATTTTTCATCAAGTAAAAAGATTAGTTACTTACACAGCTTAGATGGCTTCTGAGGTGGGATTTTACTCTTAGTTTCACACAGACAGAACAAAGATGGAAATCCTTCAACTTCACAGTGTATATAAATTATCTAAAGTTATTCTGCAGCTGAAATCTTACAGAGGCTACTGATATCACCCATCCTGCCCAAGCAAAGTGTTCACCTACTGTTTAAATATTCCTGTTTTACAAGCAGCACAATTAACAGTAGCACTGAAGGATACATTTACTCAAGAGAACAGCTGATGAAAATATTTTCCTGTATTTAAAGGAGATGTAATTACAACTTTGCTAAAACGAACCACCCTGTTTATAATGGAAGTTAAGGCAGTCCCAAAACACTCATTAATCCTCTGAGACCCTGTAAGAGAACACATCAGTTCCCAGATGCTTAATAGGAGGTCATTCCTGACTGTGTACATAGTCATATACATACATACATACATGAAACAAAGAAAGGCTTGTATACTGACTTCACAGGTTCGCTATGAATTTCTTGCTTGGATTTGCTAGGAAAGCCAGCGTGATTTGTCAGTTTTAGGCACCTCACACATTTGCAGGGAAGACTGCCATTTTTGGACCACTTTCTCCCAAAGCTGTGTATTAGCCCACAATTCCTGTACAGCAGACTATGAATCGCTTCTTTCATTGCCAGTTTGTTTTCTTTCAGGATCAAGAGAACTGCCTTCAAATAAAATTTTGTTTCTCATTCCTTCTTTAAGCATTCTTTGCCGGATCCTGTGTTGGGCCAAATTGTACCTGCAGTAAAACCTAGAGGAGGGGATGAAAAGAAGAAAACATGATTCCCTGCTTTATATGAGTGACAGTATCAAATCAGAGTTGTTCTGCCCGTTGAAAAGTTGAAACCACGTATAATAATGCTAATAAAATTCATTATGAAATGATGCATAATGAAAATATACTAAAGGAACTGCTATTTCTTTAAGGCAAACATTATGCAGCCACCGAGAAGCAGGATACACAAGTCCAACAGACCATGCTAATTTCTATAATTTGGATCTTAATTTCATGACCATTTAGTATGCTACCTTTATAATGGGACAGAAGGATGGCATACACGAAAGAAAAAGGAAAGAATCAAGAAAGACTGAAATAACTGGGTGGTTTGATCTCTTAGGATTCAAGAAACAACAGCAAGTTTTACAAAAAAATATTAAGGCATTGAACTCTTTTCCTTTAAAAAAAGAAATATCGTGGGGAGAAGGAACAGGACGCTTTGCTCGGCAAGTTTTTTTATGGAGTTTCAAGAACAGCGTGAAAGGTCACACAGGGATCATGTTGTACAAAGCAGCCAACACAGGTCTGTCAAAATTCAAGAAGCGTTTTACATACCAGTATCCTAACATTGTGCAAATAAAGCCCCCAACTGCAAAGTCGCAAGATCTTCTAACTCGACCTGAAAGAAAAACAAAAATCCTCCAAAAAATTAGAGAGAAAACTTGGATGACTTCCTGTTATTAATAAAACCTAACAGCAAATAGGAACTAACTTTTCCTTGCAAATAAATATATGAAACCCAGAAGGAATAAGTACTTACTAGTTGCTAAAAAGTGTCCAAGACCCACAACTAAAGATCCCAGGGAGCCATAGAGCACTGATTCTCGTGCGCATGGGACACTTTTAACGTCAAGAAATCCTAGGAGTTTAAAGGACTATAAGAAAAAAAAAAACACACCATAAATTAAAAAAATTACTTTTGCAGAAGTCTATAATGTCAACTCCATTGCCAAACTGACTTGTTATCTTAGTAGTAAAAAATAACCACTTGAGGATTTCCTAATTCCAGGGTTACAGGTGAGCAAAAGTGAACATGCACAGCTGTATCAGGAATGGTTTCGGAAGAGTTAACTCTTGATTTAGGCAACATCATTTCATACAAACCTGTTGATCCATCCTTTCTGTTGAATATAAAAGAACCATTTCATTTTTCCCTTTATATTCCCCCCAAAGGAAGGGAGAAAACCCTTAAGAATCCAGGATCTTTGTTAAAAACCTACATCAATCACAACAAACAGGTAAGGTTACAATCAATCGTGCAGCTATTTTAATATCTGAAAAGGCAAATGTGCTGGGAAAAAAAGAAGTGAAATTACTGAAGAATGTGCACATAGTAGAGAACCTTATACTGAACATTGAATAAAAACATTTATAAACCAGTAATTTTTAACCTAATCCTATGTATAGGTGGAGGCTGTGCACAGAAATTATTCTACCTACAACAGAAGTTTTTAAAGGAACCTACTGGTAAAAATTATCCAAACTATTTCATACTCATATCTCACATCTATAACCTACCCGAGCTTGTATCTATCAGTTTTCTATTTAATTGTCAAACTGTAATTACATGTGGCATTCATAAATCCAACTGTGAACTGACAAGTATGTTTTTCATTTCAGAGGTGCCTACACTGGCTTCTGCATAACCCAAGTCTTCTAACTTGAATACAACTTGTATTTCCCACCTGGCAAACATGCTTGCCGATGCACGTTGGCGACACAAGCAGGAGTGAGAAACTACATACAAAAAGGCCTCAAGGTGACGTGGGTCAGGGTTAAGGTGGCTGCACCGTAGTAACATCTACACATCATTCCCCTATTAATTCTTTCGTTAGGGATGGTGTGAGAATTCATCTTAATTCTATTGTGTTTAAATCCTTAGACCATTAAATACCACGTGTGCAACTGTGTCAACTAAAATCCTGAGAGATTATTTTTAATTTTTTATTTTAAAGCTATTCTACTTGGACAAAGTAGATTTTGAAGATGGAGTACTACAGTCAGGTATCTGCGGAGGGCTGACAACTCTGTGGGACAAGGGACTGTGGTAATAGGGATGGCAAGCACCTGACAACAGCTGGATTTGTGTGCAAGTATGGAAATCCCCATCAATAATTTTAGCTATGTTCCCCATGGACAACCATCAGCTGTTTCCACGTAACCCCTGTGTACAAGCGAGACAAAAGGGATTCGGTCTATGTTGGTCTCACCTCCTAATGAGTAATTTCAAGTACTCTCCTATGGAAGAAGTCACTTGATACGTCGCTGCCGTTGGCTAAGAAGCTATGCCTGCTACATCCACGCGGCATGATGCATCCTTTTAAAATAGCGTTTCACCTGTTGCTATACTTGAAATCACTTGTTAGGACTCAAACCATCACTGGCTACTGGCACTGCCAAGGCTCAGGCCTCACGACAGTGTGTCACCCCGTAGAGGGGTCCGTGGAAAAATAAACACCCCCCCACACACCCCCCCACGCACTTGGCCGTACAGAGCCTGCGTTCTGCCACCGGTTTCCGTGTATTGTTCCCCGATTATTGCCTCTGGAGCACAACCAGCGGAGGCTCGCCAGCGGCCGGCCGTAACCGCCCGTGTCCCCAGCGCAG